TTATGATTTAGCCAGCAACGTCACAACTACCATTACAATCATAATTTTCGAAGCCGTGCCACGTTTGGTTAGGATGGGATCTAGGATAATTTGTGTGTTTGTCTGTGTTTGTTTGTTTGTTTATTTATTGTTTCCTATATCACAATTATTTGCCTCATACTCCATCTCCATTCATGCCTTTCGTTCTTCGGATGAATTTGAGTGACATATTTGATACAATGGATGTTGGTTAGTAAGTCCACGATGTAATTTGCATAACGTTTCGATGGTATTTGGTGCCAGGGTGTTGGGGGAGTGCCAAGTGTTTCAAGGGTGAAGGGTGGGTCAGAAATGGTACTGTGCAAAGTGTTAGCAATGAAGTGCGGGTTGTGGGGGATGAAGTGTCAAGTGTGGAAGGTGAAGTGTGAAGAGTGAACTGAAGAGAGTGAAGAGATGAAGTGCGAAGGGGGAGGAGCGAATTGTGAAGGGTGAAGTGTCAGGTGAGGAGGAAGAAGTGTGGAGGGTGAAGTGTCAGGTGAAGTCTCAGGTGAGGAGGACGGAGTGTGGAAGGTGAAGTGTAGAAAGTGAGAGCTGAAGTGCGAATGGGGAGGAGCGAATTGTAAAGGATAGATTGGCCAGTCTTGAAGGATGAAGGGTGAAGTGTAGAGAATGAAGTGTAAGGGATGACGTGTAGAGTGAAAAGCTGAAGTATGAAGGGTGAGGACCGACATATGAAAGATGGAGTTTAGAGGATGAAGTGTGAAGGGTGAAGTGTCAAGTGTCACCTGCCATCCTTTCGTTCGATGTCTAACGCAAATATGGGAGACGAGACTGTATCTACCCTGTACTCTCCTTTGGAAACCTTCGTGTCACTAATCTCCTCTCTCTCTCTCTCTCTCTCTCTCTCTCTCTCTCTCTCTCTCTCTCTCTCTCTCTCTCTCTCTCTCTCTCTCTCTCTCTCTCTTTACTTTTTTATTTATCAATCCCACTACTTAAAAGAATACTCGTCATCTCCTCTGATCTTTTGTCTTTCTGTATTCGTTTTTTTATGACATTTTCGCATTTTCTTGCTTTTACATGTTTCATGTTTCTATATTGTCCTCCCTACCATTCTTCTCGTGTACCTTCCTTCCTTTTCCTTCTTCTTCTCCTCCTCCTCCTCCTCTTCTTCCTCCTCCTCCTCCTCCTCCTCCTCCTCCTCCTCCTCCT